TAATTTTAAATTTATTATTATTTATTTCCCTGATTGAGATCAACGAATGATCTAGATTACGTTATGCGAGTGCATATATATATTGATATAAGATGGTTAAAGTTGATCAGCGGAAAGCTCTGTAACTAAAATAAATACTAAGAGAAACTTGTTAGTAATCCCAAACGAAAATAATCAAGAAATCGACGCTATTCTCAGAATTCAAACTTATTAATCCTCAATTTATTCAAATATGCAACTTCATTTCACCATATCTCGGAGACAAACTAGTGACCACCTAATAAAAATGTCTTGAAAACAATTTTGTTAAATAACAAGTTATGCAACATAGTTGTATACAATAAATTTTTCATCAGGTGTTTATTCGGTGTGTCTCTGAGATATGATGAGGCAAATGACGGATAGGTTGAGTATAGACTTAATGTTTTTCAGCATTGGGCTAATCATGATTTAAGCATTATTAGTGGATATTAGAAATGCCATCTCATCTCCTCCCGGTCAGCAGTCCAGTAGATAACTATGGAAGATATTTTGATGGCGTTAGTTGAAATATATGAAACTAAAAGATCAAATATTCAATCGAAATCTGATGTTGAAAACTGAAGAGGTTTCAATATTTCACTTCGGTTTTCTTAATTCAGATTTGTAAGTTATTTGTACCCTTGTGAATAGTCAGTGATATTTCTAACAAGCATTATTTTAGCCTTAAGATAACTCACAGCGCAAACTAACTTTAACTAAACAACCAATGTGAACCAGAAACCATTGTATGACTATTCTGTCCATGAGTGCTGCTCTTCTGAATTATGTTCCTACGGCTTCTCTAAGCATCGTATTCATATATTTGTCAGTGACTAACTGTAAGACAGATACTGGAAGTTCTAGTACGTAGTCATGACAAATAGAGTCTAAACGTATCACAAATCAGATAGTTCTTGACGATTGCAATCGATGATAACAGCATAATATTAAGAACTAAATGAGACAGAAATTTGGACAATTAAATGCTAACACAGTGATCTGAAGGTACCATACTCACCGTCGAACTGGAGTGTCCTGAATTAAGTCTATAAAGGTTTACCTAGCGTTGTAAAAATATTGATTTAATAGCCAGTGATTTGCAGTTTGTAAAAAAATCAACTAACCCATAACCTTTTTACCTTAATGAAAAGTAAAGATTACTACTGTGAAAGAGCAAACAAAACATTTATACATAACAGTGGGTGTAGTAACAAAGTGATAAAACAAACAAATATATCTTCTTTCTTCATGTTATCCACTCTCCCTTCAAACAGTGCCGCGTAGTGAGCTTAAGGATGAAAATGCTTATATACCCATATTTATATAACAAAATATACCATTTATTTGCTAACACAAATATTTGACCAAAAATCAGCAATGGTTTTGTGTGTGTGTGTGTGTGTGATTGAACCAAAAAGAAAACCACAAGCAAAAATTGTACATTGGCGGTAAAAAGTTTTATGCAATCTATCAGTTTGGTGATTCATCAAGTTAATATTCATGTATAAGTATGTGTGTTTGTATGTGTGTATGCACGTATGTATGTAGCATCTGTGTAGTATGCATGTAGTATGTATGTTTCTCTAATACAACTAAGTGTTGAATTAAGATATCCAATTCTCAGTTAATCAGATACCCTTTTCTCTAGACTATTTTAGGAGGTCAGTTTTCCAACTTCTTCAATAACTTATTATTATGTATTTCTCATATCGACAAATGTCAAGCCATTGTAATCAAATACTTTGTGATATAATTATATATATATATACCAAGAGAGAGAGAGAGAGAGAGAGAGAGATGAAGAACAGGGATTTAAAAGTGGTAACGATGAAACGATAATCCAACTAAATTAGTTTCTTTAATTCGTATCTAACTCTCAGCGCTATTTAGCCCACTCAGACTATTGTTAATATTAAGGAAAACTTATAGAACAGAAAAGATTTTATTTCGATAGTCTAAATTATCTACATAATCTTGTTTACATAATGAAACTACTGCCTTTTGATTCAGAAACATTGAGCTGTTCAGTTAACCTTAAAAGATCCCATATATAATGATCTTCATTCAGTAAAAAACTATCCGGGCCGCGACCGACCTCCTGTAGGACTGAGATGTAATCACAACTTATTGATCACTGGGTGATGATCAATGTCATGTGTGTCAGGTCCCTCTTAGCCCAGGGGTAAATTCAAAGCTACCACTCATTTATTTTAAACATACAAATATTGTTTAACAGATAACTAATCTGTGGGGTGAGACTATAATTTATGGAGTACATTTGAGCGACGCTAAAATGATCTTGAAAGTGTCTACCTACTTACTAGAGCTAAATGAAGGTTATAAAGCAGTTTGAAGAATGAGGATTATAACTTACAGTTGATGACTTGGGTTAGGAATTAGATTTAGGGTTTTTATCACGAACTGACATCAGCTATAATGCCAAAACTCTATTTAGCAAAATGGGTGAATGAATTTCGCGCCAAAATCTACAGCTTGTTATCGTAAATCTGATTGGTTCATCCATAAATTATACTCTCACCATCTATGGTAATTATGCATTCTTAAATATGCATTGTGTATAAATAACTGTTGTTTTCGAATAGGGTTTCATATATGAAACTTCATTATGTCATTTTTGACAGGAACAAATATGGAATGTAAATATGTGAAGATATCTAATGTTAAACCATAGATTTAAGCTGCTTGTATATCTATAGATTGTTTTACAAAATTAAGTTGCGAAACAATCACAAATTTTAAATTCACTAGGTATTGTTAACTTGAATCTTCCCGTTGATGTTTAGGACTGCTTGAGAATTAAGGCAATATCAAGGCAGTCCGCACATGATGCCAACAAGAGACTGATCAATTACAGTCCCAAACATCAATAGGAAGATCCAAGCTAACAATACCAAGTGAATTTAAACTTCACGCTACTGCACAAGCAAGTGGCTATCATACGTCAGTAGCTAAGTGGATAACGTGATGATGTTTGAGTTGAACGGTACCGGGTTCGAGTTTCAGAGTGCACATCAACTCTGAGATGCAGGTACCCCCGGCTGACGAGCCCCAAGCAGGACGAAACGCGCGTCCTGGATTCCGCTGCTAGCCACTGTCTATCTTTGCATATAATTAGAATTTCGAAAATGAGTAAAACTTTATTTTGATTCAAACTGTGAAGTTTAGTCTGAAACATTTGTTACACTGTAATGAACGAAACTCAGATGGGGACAAACAAATTTTTTATTTCACGTAAAATTACAGAATGTTTTCATAAAATGTGAGAACCATACACTGAATACTTCATTTGAGAATTCCCATCTTTTTCCCTCCACATTATGTATAGTTGTTTAAGTTTACAACTCCCTTCTATTCCTTTCAATTCAATCTTGTTAGCATTCTACTGCCATGCTTTTTACTTCCAATCGGCATTACATACTACTCATGTCGACAGACATAAGCATATTTTCCTAGCCCTAACCGCTTGGCATCTAACTAGGTTTTGCTTGTAATAAATGGGTACAAAGCTCGAGAAATGTGTGTACTGGCTTTCTTGAAAAACCATTTTTATACGCAGTTTTATTGATAGAAATGTTTTTTTTCTTGTCTTGCAAAAACGTCAAGGAAATGTAATTTGTTATCAAGTTCCTCCCCATATATAAATCTGATTTCTGAGCGTGTATTATTAAACTGCTCTAAAAAAATTTCTTTTCCAATGTTCTGATCGACGATTATGAAAGTATTATCAATGGAACAGCGATAAAATTCAAGCTTATCAATAAACTCCTTGAGAGGCCAGTTTTCTAGTTTTGTGAGAAAAAATCCAGTAAGGTTCGAATCTAGAAATGAACCCATTGTTATTCCATCAATTCGTCTAGAATATGTGTTATTAAGGACAAAAATAAACGTTGATTGTACATTTCAAAAATAATTATTCCAAACTAGTACCAGATATTGTAATACTAATTTGTTTCTTAGGTGGCTGCTGATACTCAAAGTCGATTGTCTCAGTTAATGATATACTAGTAAACAAGTAAGCAACATCTAGAAATATCACCCATCTACCATTTGAATTCATATGTTTCGCTTTGAGAATGAAAACATATCTAAAGCTTCGGTTAACGACTAATTTGTATAGGAGACCCAGAATTTGAACTAACCATTTTGACAGTTTTATGATATCAAAAATTATACATAATTAAATCACCTTAAATTATGCAGAGAATCAATGTTTCAGATGTAAACAGAATGAAACCAGTCTTTATGGTAAGAAAGCTATACAAAACTAACTGGTCTATGAGTGATAAAAGATCTCTTAGCAAATGTTGATTAAATTTAGAAATATGTATACATTGGATTCCAACTTAATAGTCTAAATGTTATCTTGTTTTAAGCAATATCTCAAAGTTCGTAATTTTATTAGTACTCATGGACAAGAAGTTCCAAACTAGGTCGAGGCATCTGTTGAGTGTTCTCAAGTTGTCATTATAATATTTCAATTAATATCGCACTGATGAAACATAATTCCATATTGAATAAATTCCACGGCAACTCTATCTTGATTAGATTTTTTATCCATATTCAAGCAAACGTATTCTGGATTAATTTAAACTCATGACATTTTGATAATTTCACTGTCCTAATTGTTTTATTCTACTGGATAAAATTAAGCATAAGATATAAAATCTTAATATCCCACTGGTTATTCATATTTGTTTTCTGACAACATCAAGTTGAATTAGTGATAAAGTTTCAAAACCCAATTGACAGATTTTCACTATCGTTCAACATTAAAATATCACTCTAATCATCATTTAATAATCAATAATTCCTGAACATTCCATTGTTTTTGTTACATTTGTTACATATATATGTACAATTCAAGCAATCTAAATGTCTCACAGTTATATTTAACCTTAGAAAATTCATAGATGATTGCTTAAATATATATATATTATTATGTTCTTTTTATATTACAGAATTATTTGCTGTAAATATCAATGGAGCCAATACATATTCCAGTTCAAATGTACCAGGTGGTCTATCAGAATATTCGATCGATGATGATTTTATGCATATGCAACCAACATGCTTTCAGACTGATTCTGCACAACCTGATTTAAACGGTTATCATTGGTTAATAATTGATTTTGGCATACATTTACACCATATAAAAGAAATACGACTTGCACCAAATCCATTTCATAAATATTTCGGTAAATTGAACCATCATTATTTCCAAAAAAATAATTAATTTGTATAAAAAATAATATGTTTGAAGAATTTCATCGTTTGTTTTTTGAGGTACATAAGTCAACCTACAGCTGGACTTGTCAAGGTTAGATTTACTTTATTTGAGATACAAAACTCTCATCTGAACTGACTAGGTAGTTTCTGTTTGATTGTTAACCAGGTTGGTGCTACAGATCACCACATCATTAGATGAGTATCTCCAAAATGCCAAAAAATACTCAGAAAAACATTTGAATAAATAAATAAATTTCTGAAAAACTTTTTGTCATTGATCGACATCATTTCAACAACACTTGAAACCCAGCGGCACTAAAGAAGCTCTTCCATCCTAGTTTACGACTCCTCGATAATGTCCACTCGAAAACTGCAGGTCTTGTATCGAGCATGATATTTAGATAGTAAAAAATCTGGGTCCAATTATCCACATTTCCAACCTTAGTCAATTCACAACACAGCCAAAAAGTTTTTCAACTTCTTCTTTCTTAGTCTGAGTGAAATTAAAATTTCAAAGATCCTTTTTAAATCCAATCACTCTTGTGTTTATAAAAACTGTCTCTTTTACGGTTCGTGTACTCCTGTAACCCTTTGCGCAGAATAAGCCACCGACAAGCAACCAAAACCTACTCTGTACTGAGATTTCCTTATCAACTGTTCACAAGTACTATTCATTCTTTTCTTATCCTCATCCATTTCCCATCACAATATGTTCTTTGGTAGGTCCCTTTTCATTTTGCTTTCAAAATTCCAAGTTTGGGCTTATCATGTAATGCAATTTGATGTTCTACGCATTGTGTGTCCTATTTGCAATCAAGGTGACTTACTACTTTCTTCTTCAGCTGAAAACTGATTTGTTCTCCGAAAACGTATGTTATTGCTGCTGATGTCTGACCAACCGACAAGAAGAATCCTGTGTAAACAGTTGTTCAGAAACACCAGTACCCTTTTGACGATGGTTGTAGTAGTTCTACAAGTTTCAGCTCCGTCGGGCAGAACCCTCTCGACGTTGGTATCGAAGATTCTGATTGTGGTGTTGACTGACAATTGTTTCGAGTTCTAGATGTTCTTCACTTGAAGTAATAATGCCCTTGCTTTGTCAATCTGTGCCTTCACATCTGCATGCATCATCTCGTGCTTCCTCTAAGTGGTATATCTCCTGATAAATCTTCTGGCTGAATGCTTAAATTTGGTTCCCAAACTCTTCTAATAAAATTAGACTAAATCTACACGACAACTTGAACATGAGAGTAAAGGTGCAAAGGGTTGAAAGAACGCTGTGCTCCAAGGTTGGTTTATGTAGAGAAAAGGATGGTATTTATAGCATTTCAGATAGCATTGAGCTTCTGGAAGGTTTGCGAAACCCTACTAAACATAACTTCAGGATAGACGATCACTCGATCAGATATTTCTAAAACATCTGTTCAATGCCGACTGGATAAAATATTTCCAGTATTTTCGGGGCCCGTCTGAACTTCATTCGAGGAGTAATCTCCTCAGTCTTCATAATGTGGTCGACCACCAGAAAGAAGAGTAAGAGTGAAAGTAAACGGGCTTGTCTGATACTGATCTTCGCTTAGATTGCATCTGTCAGCTGAAATGCATGCACGGCTATGAATCGTAGTCAATCGTAAGAATTCCGTTTGATGCTGATGATCATCTCAGGTGCACTACAGTGTCGAAAAGGATTTCATAAGTTTATCCTACCCACATTATCAAATGCTTTATCGTGGTTGAGAAAGTTGATGTATGATAATGAGTTCTATTCAAATGATTGTGCTTCGTGTGTCATGCTGTCTGGTCCCTCTGATTATCCACTGTTGATTTGTCTAATTGCCATCTTGATTTCTAACGTTGATGAAGTGACATCCATAGGAAGATCCGTTCGTTTTTTAGCAACGATGTTTTCTTCGCCACGAAGTTGCTAATTCCATGCTCAACCCTGCCCTTTTATCTGGGGCTAGGGTTAGAAGTGCTAGATGCGGAGTTATTTATAAAAACTATATATATGTCACTCATAGGCGCTCCAATAGTTTTGTAATAACTGCATTATTTACATGAATCAATCAAAAACTTCAGTAGATTTTGAATTCAACTATTATCAATTTGTGTAAATGTGCTAATTATATAAATCAGTCATTCAGTTTAAAATATTTTCCGCTTGATAATATTGGATTACATTCACAGCATGTAATTTTATAACTAACTGGTGATAAGTTTATTTAGAACACTAAATGTTCAATGAAAATATCTGAAGATATATTTTCAAAGTTCTATTTGCGCAAGTAAACGTTTCAAAATGGATTTCTATACTGTTTCTGTTGAAACAAAACCTATAATTGTACGCTACGAATTGAATAGATGCACACATGCCCATATGTTTGATTGTTTTTCTTTAATAACTTGAATGAAGACAATATATCCTGGTGTTAAATGTCTGTAGACCACCCAAATTTAATTTTTACGTCCGATAATTATAATCGTAAAAGATGTACACAAAAAATGTAAGCACAAACCACAAAAGAATTAACATAATTATGTTTGACACAGATTTTCAGACACCTGATGATGATGGTGGTGAGGGTGATGATGATGATGATGATGATGATGACGTAATAGCAGTATTGAGCTAACTAAGAAATCTAGTTAGTTAACTTTTTCACATCATCTATGAATATGTTTATGCTACTATTAAGCAAGCAATCGCAAATCTACCGTTTATAAACAAACTTATTTGTAAACTATGAGGTGTAATATATTTGAGTTGAATGACTTCATGATAACATTTTAGGTATAAAAAATGAACTCTGACAATATAAGGCTGTCTCATTAAATTCTGCATATATATTTAATTTGTATTCTAATGAAAAATTTGTGAAACCTCATTAATTGCACTAAGAATTAATGAGTTCTACGAAAACGTGCATCTTTCTATTTGTTTACTAACTTGAAACAGATATCTCGGTAGTTACATACTTCCTGGGTGTACAGTACACTTAACAGTCGTAATCAATAGGTAAACATTTAAAGTGTCATGATGGAAATTGGTCGCTGCAGATTATGTATGTTCATTTCTCATTCCTTCCTTTATATAATAAGTTTTAATAATAAATCAATTTTTTTATTCTAAATTTCATTCATTATCCTAAGCATCTTTACTATCATTGATAATATTGACTTGACTCATTAGATTTTTCACTTGTCAATTTCTTATCGTTGATGAAAATGGAAATTTCAGCAGTCTGCAGAAAGCCTCAATGATAATAATAATCAAGACGATTAGATAAACAATAGATGATTACCTGAGCTCTAGTGAGAAGCGGTGACCATTTAAGTTCAACGTTGTTGATTGTGGGAACATTACTCACCAATGAAAATGGAAGATGGCTGCACAATGTGGAGAATTATTGGATACCAACTCATCGGTCTAAAATTAAGCGCTCGCAACGAGAGCTGAAATTCGAGAGTTCGGTCTCCAGCGGTGTCGTAGATCCACACTGTTGAGGAGTCCCATACTAGAATGAAACAACTGTCCAGTACTTCCTCGTTTTTAGTGACTGTCTAACTGTCAGCTCGTGACGTAAATTGTTAAATGTAATCATCTCGATAAACCCTTTGTACTAATCGTATAATATCGTTGTGTTGTCCATAAATATCACAAGTCCGGATGTGATATCCATGTTTGCTGAGGATATCGACTAACAATATTATTACCATTTTCTTACCTTCATAATGAATACTTTTCACATTAATATCTATTGGTGGCTTTTAAGAATAACGCATAATTGAAACTGCAATTCTTACATCTTATGTTTATTTAACCGTTACCAAATGGTAAATTCCTGTATCAAGTAAGAATATGAATGAAACAAGAACTGTAACTGTAGCCGAGTAATACGCATTCATTCATTTCATAAATTCTTTTTAGCTGCCTACAACCTAGTAAAAGTAGAAGTAATAATTTGTTATAGATGACAAGTGTGCATACTTAAAATTCCCCTCAAAGATAAATTATCATTCATGAGAATTAATCAAATAAGCCATAAATGTGAAACAATAACAAGCAATTTATTTTTGTGTTCGTCATTTGAATCTTCCTACTGATGTTTAAGACTAAAAGTGAACACTCTCTTATTGGAACATGTTTATCCTATGTGGATTGCTTCAATATTGCCGTAAACCACAATCAATATAAGCAGAGATGGATGGTGGCTAGTATTAGAGGGATCTAGGATATGCGTTTCGTCCTATTTGAAATTGGTAAGCTGGATGTGCCTGCATCTCCAGGACTCGAACACAGTACAGTTCATTTCAAACATCATCATGTCATCAACTCACCTACTAGGTCTGATCTACTGAGATTGATCAATTGCAGTTCAAACAACCAAAACAAAAATGAATTAAAATTCACCTCAGTGCGCAAGCTAATGGTTATCTGGACTCAGCAGCTAGTGGATATCGTGATGATGTGTAAAGTGAACGGTGCTGTATTCGAGTCCCGGAGTGAACATCAACTCTGGATGCGTGCACGTCCAGCTGACGAGTCTCGAATAGGATGAAACACACATCTTGGATTTAACTACCAGCCGCGATCCGTCTCTGATCATAATAACAAACAATGTTTACATGTCAGTATGGGCTCATAGTGATTGTTGAATTTCATTAGCTTCCTATAGTAGTCTGAATAACATTGGTTTATCGTTTCACTATTTATAAGCTTGATTATTGCTTATATCAACTAGTATGACTATTCCAGATGGGGTTAATCTGAAGTACATGAGAAGATTAGTCATTTAGTTAAATAAGCCCGTTTCAACATAGCTATTAGTATAAAATTAATGTTGTCAACTATTTCATCACTGTTCTTGTTCCTTCCTCATCACAAATACCGATAACCATTATTCCGCATACGATTCTTAGTTATTGTTAATTTTTCTTTAATTTTATGTACTGAAAATAAGTTTTAAATACGATTGAACAAAGTTCTAATCAAAGGCCATTTTGCCGATTATCAACATAAACTACTGAGATTAGGATGAAATCCATTATAAGTGTCCTTTTGATGAAGAGATATTTAATAATAATATGTCGAATAACAAGATCTAAAAAGTGAAAAATGTTACCAAGATCCACTATATAAGAAGCATATTTGTAGTTACTGAATACAATATCAATGTCACTAACATAGGTGAATTACGATGTCCATTCATCAGTTATCGCCTTCATATTTATCTGTTCTAGGTCCTCCATATATGTATTATTATATCATTTTCAATTACAGACATTCATTATCTTTATTTCCATACAGTAATTCTTTTTTGGAGGATTTGCAAGTTGATATCACAAAATTGATAGAAATAATGTTGTCTCGCTATCTATATATCTCTATTGTATTTAGCCTAATAATATGTAGACTATTATCATTCCTTTATTTTCAATATTTTATTTTTAAAGCTACAAAACTCTCAAATATTGATGTGTTTCTTATACAAAGTGGTGAATCATTGGAAACTGATGAAATGTTAGCATCACTAAGACAAACAAATCAAAGAACACCAAAAAATATTATGTGGAATTCAAAAGGCATTAAATTTTGTCAGTCGACAGGTAATGTTACAGCTGGTACTCGTGCTGCTACAATAGAATGTCCACAAGAAATGGATGCAAAGTGGTTAGCATTACGTAGAGCAGATGAATTGGAAATTTGCCTTGTCAGTGTTTATGTAAAGAAAGGTTGGTTAAAAATGATTTTGTGATTATTTTATTAGTAGTTATTCAATATTTCCATGGATAAACCATGTTGTTTGAACACTGATTTGTAACAAATATCATATTTATTTAGTCCTTAGTTCCTGATCAAGTTCCATCTGTCGAGTTATAGTGTGATCACTAGTCCTGCAAGATTTTAAATACACAATTGCCAGTGACTATCAGCTAGCACGAAACTTAGTTCTGTAGTTTCTTGTAGACCTCTCCCACCCATCTAGTATGTATCAACTTTATCTTCAAATCGTTTTTGATCGCTTTCAACATACTAACCATTTTATTTTAAGTAGTAAAATGCCTGTTATATAGGATTTTAATTTACCTATAGAAAGAGTTGCTATTTAAATATGTTAAATCTAAAAATTTTGATGAAATATACTTACGATCAAGAGCAGGTCCAACTTCATAAGACGGACAGAACAATCTATGCAACAACCATATTCTGGTGTTAGCAACACCATGGGAGTAGGGTAAAAGAAGACCGAGCATCACAATAAAGTACAAAACAGGGAAGCCTACAAGAATACGAATCAACTCCATAACAATAATAATTGTTGTTGTGCCAATCCTATAATTTAGTAATAATCATATTGATCCGAGTCGACCCTCAGGATACATGGTTTACTCATTTACTTCCTTATGCCTGTTACTCCTTGTGGAGGAGCATAGATCGCCTACCAGTATTCTTCATCCAATTCTGTCCTGGGCAATCTTTTCCAGTTATTTCCAGTTGCTATTCATTCTTTTCATGTCTGCTTCCAATTTCTGTCTCAGCGCGTTCTTTGGCCTTCCTTTTTTCCGTTTCTCTACAGGATTCCAAGCTTACGCCCGCTTCGTGATGCAGTTTGACGACTCCCACAGAGTATGTCCTATCCACTTTCAGCGTCGTTTCTTAATTTCCTCTTCAGTTGGAAGCTGGTCTGTTCTCTCCCACAGTAGACTGTTGTTGATGGTATCCGGTCAACGAACATTCAGTATCTTGCGTAGACAATGGTTTAGAAATACTTGTGCCTTTTTGATGATGGTTGCGGTAGTTGTCGAATTTTCAGCACCGTACAGTAGAACTGTCTTGATGTTCATATTGAAGATTCTGACTTTGATATTGGTTGACAGTTGTTTCGAGTTCCACATGTTCTACAACTGTAGGAATAGTGCTCTTGCTTTAACAACGCTTGCATTTACGTCTTCATCGGATTCTCCTTGTTCATCGATGAAGCTTCCCAGGTATGTGAAAGTTTCCACCTCTTCCAGAGTTCCTCCATCAAGTGTGATTGGGTTGGTGCTCTCCGTGTTGTATTTGAGGATCTTGCTTTTTCCCTTGTGTATGTTGAGGACTACAAGATGTAACTTAAATTTATCAATTAGTTTAACGATGATTTTTATCACAGATTTAATCAGCTTAAACTGTACTGAAAATCAAAACGTATCATTATAATTGTTTGGTTTTGGTTTGAGGTGTATTGACGGTATTGTACCTAAGATTTCCAAATTTCTTAGTGAGTACAATGCTGTTTGGATCGCCGAGTAATGGTTCTATTTCAGTCTACTAAAAACATTATCTTCAAAGTTGGCTATTCTTTACAAACTACTCAAACATAACTAGTTATTTACATGAGGGTTTGTTAGGCTTTATATTTAAGTACAATATCCCTCAATATGTACGGTTAACAAAAGCAGATTGAATAATACTACGTTTCTATATCTTTATTTTATACACACTTACTACGTGAAAAATTTGCGCATAAGTTTAATTTATTTAGTTTTAAAATGCACCACTATGAAGCTAAAATTTACTACAGTTTTGCGCCAAAGCTCCCAAATTTCCTAAAGATGATAATTTATTTTTCTGTGACTTTATTTTCGGTTTGATGACTATAATCAAAGATTAATCAAAATGCGGGAAAGATGTTTTCAAAATTTATTTATTTATTGATTAATTCTATTGTTCACTCTGGTGTTGGTGTGAACTGAATTATGTCAAGACGGTTGTGGATCCGTATATAAGAACTTTCGTTTTAAATTTGATCGGTATTTGGGCGCCAAGTTGATATGAGACATTAAAGAAGAAGAATTCATTCGCTGATATTTTACAAATATATTCTTTCTCTTTAATAGTGTTAACATAGTGAAATCTTTCATGTAAACTAATCTAGGGCGTCAAGAATTTGGAAGTTGATCCATAAACGATAAAATTAAAAATCCTGTATTCATCCTTTGATATTTATCTATTCCTGATAACATATATATTTTAATAAATGTTGACGAAACTGTGAAACGTAACTGAAAATCATGTAAAGTTACCAAAAGTTTTATGTATTTCATTTCATTTTAAGTTATAGTTGTTAATGAACGTGGATTGACTTTAGTTGAGTTATATCATCAGGGAAGTAACGAGAACCATTCAATCATTTCTTCTTAGTATAGAACTCTTTAACAGTGTAAGCCCTTGATTTTAATTCATTTTCCTATGACATGTTAATGTCTAACTGGATTGTATGAAATATAATACACAAATATGTTATATCTCATACCAATGTACAAATTTTGTTTTTAAAATGTACTTCATTGTTTTGAATTTTCAAGTCAACACAGATTTATTTATAAAAGATATGGTGAACAATTATCACAAAGCATTTAATACATTTAGACTTCTGTTCAATAATTGGTCCGATGGTGAAGTGAACCAATAAAGTGAATAGATAATGATGTTTCAATGGAAAATGCGTTAGAGAAATACTTAATGACCAATCAAAATTTCGAACAGTAAACACTTATTGTTAGAAGTAAATTTTCAATGGGACAAATTAAAATAGGTTCTAAAACCTAATAAATTGGTATACATTCTGACAACAACAATTTTCTGTTTTATGATACTTTAGCCTATAAAGAGTGCTTCATACAATATTCAACAGAAGAACAACAAGTATGGCCTAGTTTATCAGGTCAACCATTTAGTTTTATACGTCATTTGTCAAAATCAGCTTGTCGTGCTGGATGTTCAGTCAATAAAAATTGTCAAGCTATACGCTATAGAAAAATAAGACATACTGGAGTCTGTGAACAAATACGTGATGTCCTACTTTCAGAAGATCATACCAGTGTTATTCCAAATGAGAGGAATCCAGTTTCACATGATTCTTTACTAAATTGCGAATCAGAGAATTGTATGATTGAATTAAACAAATGTCAATTAGGTAAGTTGATGAATTTATGTTTATTATTGAATATGCATAAGTATAATTTCACGATGAATATAATTAATACAGTAATAAAATAATTTAGTTCCTTTACATATCTGGGCAGCATCATCGATGAACACGGTGGATCTGATGCAGATCGACAAAGCAAGAGCAGCATACTTACAACTGAAGAACATCTGGAATTCAAAACAACTGTCTGTCAACCAACACAAAAGTCAGAGTTTTAAATACAAATGTCAAAACAGTCCTACTGTATGTGGCATAAAATTTGAGAACTATGAAAGCTATCATCCAGAAGACAAAAGTGTTTATTAACAGTTGTCTACGCAAAATACTTCGGATCCGTTGAGCAGACACTACTAGTAACAACCTACTGTGGAAGAAAACAAACCAAATTCCAGCAGAGGAAGAAATCAAGGAGAAGCACTGGAAGTGGATAGGACACACATTGAGGAAAGCATCCAACTGCGTTTCAAGGCAAGCACTCACATGGAACCCTCAAGGCCAAATGAGAAGAGGAAGACCAAAGGACACATTACACCGATAAATGGAGACAGACATGAGAAGAATGAACAACAATTGGATGGAACTAGAAAGAAAGGTCCAGGACAGAGTGGGGTGGAGAATTCTGGTCGTAGGCCTATGCTCCATAAGGAGTAACAAGCGTAAGTAAGTAAGTAAGTAAGTAAGTAGAATGTGTTCCCACCGAAAAGTGTTTTATTAAAATCTTTTAATGTACAAGGAAATATGTCTTCTATACTGGTGATGTTTCATTTTATATAATCAAATATACCTTTAGTTACTTTTTTCACTGAATATCACATTGTAGAATTCCTCTGAATTTAACATTTATTCCATATATATTTCTATTTATTTTTTCTGGACACTCAGGTAGATTAGAAGAATTACATCAGGTTAAACAGTCTGAAGAAAATGACACCATAATATCAATCTCTAATTTGAACAATGAATCAAACGACTTACAAAGTGAGAATAAATTCTCATTATGGGAAATTCCATCGAATTTACAAAAGATTAAAGCTGATCAATCAAATGAATTAAATACTGAATTATTATTTTCTATTCAAATGGATGGTTATTTATATTGTAGTAAAGCTGTTTGTGGTATGTGTTTTGATTAATCTAACATTAAACTATGTTATTCTGTAATGAATTTTACATATGAAGAAAAGTATATTAATTTTTAACCAGAATACATATAATAAATGATACTTTGAATTCCGCTCGTATCATTTATATTTAAAGAATTTAATAGTATCAGTAATCTTCAAACTCGTGGTACAAAAAACATCCTTTTTTCAGTTGTATTCTATTCTCTAAACTGCTGGTAATATCCAGAATGATAATGAAAGCTTTTCAAATAAGCCATCTAGCTTATGGTACATAATACAACTAAATTGCGTAACCAAAAGTTGTCAATAGATTTCATCACAGAAATCAGTACATGAAAAATAAATTATGATTGAGTTAAACAACATTTTTATCGAGTACTATTTTGTTTCAACAAGACCAATCTCAGTTGTTGTTTTTTCATCCTAATAATTGATTAAAGATCCCCATTATATTAAAAGAAGCGTATTCTTATCGATAAATTCTCTTCAGGTTCTACAATTATATATCCAAATTAATAATTCGAAAAGTGGCCAAGTTTAGAGCAAAGTGCATTGTTTAAAGTTATAGCCAGTGAATTAAGGACTGTCAAACAAAATAAAATAATTAATGTTGATATGACTGATAGAATGTTAACTCGAATCAGTTTATATGTCAGGTGAGATTTTAAGATGTATGATTCGAATAAATATGGGTCAGATGGGTTTTGTGGATATTATAGTAATTTCAATGGTTAAGATCATAAGTTAATTGAAGCTAGACCACCATGGGAAACCTGGAAGCACTGGACAGTCGTTTCGTCCTATTGTGGGACTCCTCAACAGTGTGTGAAGTAGTGACCAGTGGAGTTCGACCAGGTCTGTTGTGAGATAGTAACTCACTGATGACAATGGTGGATGTGTCGCTCAATTTCGTGGATTAGTTGAAGTTAGACATTACCAAAATTGGATGCCGACTCAGTAATCTAATGGTTAAGCGCTCGCGCGCGAGGCTGATAGGTCCTTGGTTCGAATCTCGCAGGGGGCGAGGTCGTGGATGCGCACTGCTGAGGAGTCAAAAAATAGGACGAAACGGTTGTCCAGTGCTTCCAGGTTTCCCATGGTGGTCTAGCTTCAATTGACTCTTGATCTTAACCATTGAAATATGGGTCAGATAGGGTAAGAGAAATAATAGTGTACTTCGCCCTAAACCTATTCATTTTTCGGATTATGAATTTGGATATATAATTGTAGAAGCTGAAGAGAATATATCGAGAAGAATATTCTTCGTTCATACATTAGTCTTCTAATAGTTGAGTTGACCCTTTTCACTAAACGTCCTCAGTAATTTCGTATTAAAAATAATCCAGATATTTTATGATTCTCACCTGTTAGAGTTTAGATCTTCCAATTGTTGATATTATGAACTGTGTTTAATCAATTTATTCTTGTTTGATTTTCAGTACTATCCACTAACAAAACGAAGTCTACAAAATGATTGTGACCTAATAGCACTATGAAGAAAATTTTTTCAGCATGAAAATATGCTAAAAGAGAAAGATTCAAATTTTTAAAAGCGAAATTAAACTTCAACCCGTTAAATAACCCAGTGACTTTCTGAAATCTGTAGCTAAGTGGACAGTGCGTTAGACTTTTGAAGAGAAAGGTACTGGATTCCAGTTTGAATATACTGGGATGTAAATGCATTAAGCTGACGAGTCATAAACAGGATGAAACTGACGTCCTGAATTTCGATGTTAATCACTATCAAAACTTTAGTTTAAAAAGATTCTATTATTTTGCCTTGGGTAATTTTTAGCAAAAATTATGAGTCAATGCTGCATAATAAAAAAATGTTACTACATAAGTTTGTTTGAATACAATTTTCTCCAAAGAACATAAGAATTCCTATCGAAAGCAATACACTTGGGATAGTTTTACGACAAACAAGTTATAGAATAAATATTATTAGGAGAAACTATAACTGTGAGATAGATTTGATTTCTTAAAGTCAGTATTTGGGATATTTTGAAACTACTTAACAAAAAAGCAACAATATAAACAACAAAGAACCAAAACCTTCATAAGTATACTAATAATAATGGTCCATAGTTTTTTCATAGTTGATGTTTGGTCTCTATTGCCATATGAGTTTCTTGAATAAATTGGTTTGATATAGCATTATGTCTCAATTTTCATAAATTTGGCATGTGTTTATCATTAGAAAACAGGACATGTGTTTAATCCTATTTGGGATTAGTTAGGTGAACATAACTGGACCCTAATGTTATTGTTTACACTGTGAATGAAACTATGATTCATTAACATAACCTTTAAAATTATTTAATAAATTAACTGTTGACCTCTATTCATTAAAATCTAAAGTTTCATAAATTATTCTAAATCCATAAATACTGTTTACTCATAAGCATTTGATCGACATTGACGTTTATAGAGTTATGAGAGTTGGTAGGACCCGACTAAAAATACCCACTTCTTTCTTCAATTTGTTTACCGGCTTTAAAGGCAATTTTATACAATGTGGATTTGTACCCTTAGTTTCATCTAATAGATAATGTGGTCTCACATAACAGACGGACATGATTAGACAGCAGCTACGGGGACTAAGGGTCCTAATTTCAGTCTTTTTTGAGGTTATGGATAGGCACAACTGAAGAGTCCCATACTAGGACAAAATAACTAATTAGTGCTTCTTCGTTTCCAATGGTCGTTCAACCAGAGTCAGCCAATGATAGGAAATTTAGTATTCAACACAGTTTTCACAACACTATAATAACAATTATATGTAATAAGTGACCACCGGATTAATTTACATAAGAAAACAAAATACAGAAGTAAACATAGGAGTATAAAGTAGAATATCCAACAAACTTAGAAAGGGAATCATAATTCGTTATGTATATTTAACGAAATAATAAACTTGTAAACATCAATTAAATATGAAATTTCACACTGAGATTTCTACAAATCAATCAAGTTTTACACTGCACAATTTAATAGACATATCATTTTTCATACTGAATAATGTTTACTGTCATTTCCATATGTAACTGTGGAAGAATATAATTCGATCAAGTAGCATAAAATATGCTAAGATTTCCCTTTAAGCTATTCATACTTCATATGAGTTCAGTATTATTGTTCTTAACACGTTTTCTTATTATGTCATTATTTATCAAATGACCAAATGGATTTTATAATAATAATGCACAGAAAAAACTTTAGACTGTAAAAAAAAACTAGCTGGTCGTTGAATGAACAAGGTAGCATATAAGTTATCTGCGTCATTTCATTGCTTTGTGCTTTCTTTGAGCGTTTCATAATATTGACAGTAGTATAAAATCAGTAGACTGTTAAAATTATAATAAAAGACATACACAGAAGGTTCATGATCATTGATCGTTGAAATCTCGTGATTTCAACATATAATAAATTCAGAAGTGTAACAATTCTGTTGTATATTCTTTGTATTATTCGATAAGCAGTAAGTTTAAGTATATATGCATTAGTATACTCCAACACAATATAGATGTCTATGAAAACTGACCTATTGGCAAACAGACCACGAAACAACTTACTAAATGAAATCATATTCTCAAATAATTCGATAAACAAAACAAAACAGGCTTTATTCAGATAAGCTCGTAACCACAAATTTAGGGTTAACATACGTATATATTTATAGATGTGAAATAATTAATATTATGACGCCCAAAGTGTTTGTTATGAATATTATCCACGATACGTAAAATACATTAATATTTTAAAATATGTTGTCGCAAACTACATTGTAATTTAATACTGCCTTCTTACTATTTTAATAGCTTACTTTTTTATCAGTGAATAAACAACTGACATTCCAGATTAACTATTAAAGATTAGATCATGAACAGTAGGATAAAAGATGCTCTAAAATGTTAGTCACGTACCAACAAGACATGTTTTTCAAGTTAAAGAAAATTTACACATTTTTTCTAATATTCATAGTCATGTTTTGCAACAATGAGATGAGATATTTGCAATGGTTACTGTTACCAATACTTATGATGAATGTTTTAATTACTTTTGAGAGTATGGTCTCAATACCAACTTTCAGTTACAAGTTTTGGTATATCTGAATTTTAACCACAAATGAACTCTAAGATACTCAATTAGTCTCGTCTTGAACTTTTCAGTTTGATATACCTTCATCCTAGTCTTGATACTCACACTAAAACTCAAACCTAATATCTGTCACCTTAAACTACAATGCACTATTCACTAAGCTACTGAGTTCAGACAGCCAGTGATTTGTTCATTTAGTAATATATCCCATTCTAAAAAGTAACACTAAGATCTACATACATTCAGTTGTGAAATTTCAAAATGAGATCAAATAATTAAACACTAGTCTATCGAATTTGATCTAATTTTGGCCTACAGATCAAAATTTTTAATAGAGGTGAAAGTTTCAACAATTTAAAATGAATACAATGATTAGTACTATTGACAACATTTGAATCTTCAAAAAGTATATCCTGGAGTTCTAATGTGAAACAGTGACCAATGGAGTTCAACCAGGTCTGTTGTGAGATAGTAACTCACTGATGACAATAGTGAATATGTCGCTCAATTTCGTGGATTAGTTGAAATTAGACATTAACACCGTTGAATGTTGACCGGATCAGTGATCTAATGGTTAAACGCTCGCGCGCGATACTAGTAAGTCCTAAGTTCGAATCTCGTCAGACGGTTTCATAGATGCGCACTGTTGAGGATCAAACAGTCGTCCGGTCCTTTCAATGTTTTCCATAATGGTCTAGCTTTAATTGACTCATGATCTTAACCATTAAAATTACATTTTAATCATTTGAATCATTTTCTTATTTACTATATACAAACTATAATAATTCATTTCATTTCTTTTATGTATTACAATTTATTCCATTCCATCAAAAATAGATACATTGAAAATTTATTCAATGGATAAGAATAATGAAGCAATTCTTTGCGGTGAAATTAATTCACTTATTGTGTCACATTTAAATAAATATTATTTATTTTGTCAAAATAATTATCCAATGGATAAATTAAAATTTATTCGTTTAGAATGGAATAATATGGGTAGAGAAAAAGCGGGTTATTTACATGTAAATATTACAAAAATGTTTATTAGAATAACAAAAAATACAAAATTATTCAATATGAATTTAAATTCAAATATTATGCCAATGACAACTTATTCAACGATGCTTGTTACAAACAATATAGAGTTGACTACTGAACAACAATCTAGTGAACATTTTGTAGAAGTAAAAGAATATGAAGTAAATGAACAATATACAACTCAACAACTAAAAAACCAATTTAAAGAATTGAAAAATGAAAAGAATGAAGAGGGATTAAATGTACGGAACAATCTTCATGAAACAGAATTACTTCAACAATACTATCAACCTGAAAAAGGTGAATTAGAAGATAAAAGAGAAAGAGAAAAATCAGAAGCTCTACATCATACAGATTCGTATAAGGGTGAAGATGAACAATATACTGAAATGAAAGAAACCAATACCCTTAATGAAGAAAATAGTCATTCAGTCAATTATCTGAATACAAATACTGATTATACAGAAAATGAAGAAGATGAATATGATATGTCGACACTGGAATCATTTGATGATCAAACAGTAGAAGACGACCTAACATGCAAGTGTTTCTAGTTTAATTACAATTTAGAAAATATATATCAGGCATTGACGTCAACTAAAAAAATTTACTGAATATCAAGTGTAATTAGGACGTTTAGCGTTAAGTATTTGAAGGTAGTCTGGACGAAACCCAGAACCTAGGTTTCATTACAGCTGGGATTGATTGGTAAGGGGTACTTGTAATGTTAAGGGTAATGAAGCCTCAAAGTCTAGAACATTACTCTTGGACTATTTGGGGGCTAACGTTCTATAGGACTGAAATATGTAAACTGACTAATCACTGGATGATGGCCAATGTTATGCTTATCTAATCCCTTATACTAATCTAATTCTATCAATCATCTAGCATATTTAGGATTATTTAATTTCTAAATGATTTTTCACATTTTTTACATCCTATGTCCGGAAACTTATCCTTCAATTAGTTTGGAAACTTTTCTCGCCACTAACAACTAATAAATGTTTTCCAATAAAGGACATTTTACACAACGTTTGTCCTTTTTATTATTCACATTTGAAATAAATCTATACGCTAGTTAAATAAACAAACATCCAATTTGAATATTACTAATGGTAAAATAGTCGTCATGTTGATTAGCTTTAATTAATATTGACATAAAATTGAAATACTAATTTGATAATTATGTAATTGTTTCACTTCATGCCTAAAATAATACAATTCCCCTACCGATTTTACTTACTGTTTAATACCTGTCTCATTAAGTTTGTGTTCTGGTCTACATTTGGTTGTCGATCTAACGGTCGGATTACCGGGTGACTTTGTGTTTCACGCCATCAGGTACTGTGATAGATTGCTTAATGTTAGCAAGTGACCAATTTATTTCTCTTTTATGCCAGAACTGTAGAAAACTATCTTAATAATATGTAACTAGATTTCAGAAATAACTCCTTAAATTATGTATAAAAAAGCCATGACCTGGTAGAATTTAAAATGCTTTTCATTAGAAAGACAGAGAACCTACAGTAGTGAATGATAGCTGAGCAATATTACGAATCGACTGAAGTTAAAAATATGTACTAATGATTTCTAGATTAATACTCTAATATGTCATGCATGTAGTCAGGTAGGATATTTCTTGGTTCGATTCCGTGTCGTCTTCGAGAAATCTCTAACTACGATGAAACGGTTATTTGTTACTTCATAAAGAGTTTAGAGAGATTGTTTTGTTTGTAGTAAGTCCTTATCTTGAAATATCACTAGCCGGAGAAATTGCTATTTAGTGTTCTCCAGGTGATATTTGTACGTGACTAAACCCAACTTCAGATTGAGCAAACCCCACAAACCTCGTTCTCTAATAGTGGTAGAACTACTTTCAAAATATCCTCAATTAATTAATAATGAAATGAACATAATCTTTAAATCTAATTGCAATATAAATGTTTATCGACAATAACACTCCTATTTTTCTTAAATATTAATTTAGATGCAACAGAAAACGAAACGAATATGCAAATGACGAACATTCATGACAAACATAATATGTCGCCCAAACAAAATCACTTAACTGTAACAACCACTGAATTTCATGAAGTTGTAGAACATACTGAGGCCATTGATAATATAGTTACCGATTCATGGGGGCGACAACCAAACTCACATAATGACTTAGATAAAAATGTAAATAACTATCGAAACAAAAATATCACGTCAACAAAACTAGGTGTACGTGAAGCGAGAAGAGAAAAAGACCATGACAATTTACAAATAGTTGGACAGCACCATCGTAATTTAGAAAAAAAATCACTTCAAACTGTTCGAGTTGATGAAAAGCCGAAAAATAACTCCCTCTTTTCACGTAGACCTCAATTTATTCTGATTATTGCAATTACATTTCTTACATTTCGAAAGGTTTGGTGAATTCCGCCGAAGGAAATAATGTGAAGTAACAATGTTTTATAATGAAATTTGAAAATATTCAGTGTATAACATTTTCAAGTTGAAATGAGGTTGTCTATATTTTTTGTTTGGAAATAGGAACATAATTGTTTTTGTCAAAAGATCACTTCATTATTCCATAAGGGAACTTTTCATATAACTTTCTTTATCAGGACCTGCCTTATTCTCCTCTATAAACAAATCTATATTAATTATTTGACTTCAAAAGATATTGAACCCGACCATGAATTCAGCTGCACTGGGCACAGTCTTTTGTTCTTTCAAATTCTTGATTACAAAATACAGGGATTTAGGTCATTTTTTATAAATAATGATTGACTATTTGTCGCTTATTTAACGGCTTTTTGTTTTATTATTAAGCGCAACCTCATGAAGGTCAGTTATTTTGAAAGTCTTTTTCTCTTCCTTATGCAAGTTACCTAAAAGCTTAACTTAAATTTCTTTTAACATTGTCGTTCTCTTTTTTAATATACACCAAAGTGATGAAAACATAACGTGTATTCACATACGATTGTTTTCTAAAGAGACATGATAAATATCACATACCTGCGGATGATTATAAATATAACGTCCTCAGTTCGCTTAACAAGTTAAGAGCTATTGGTCCCATTGCCAAATATAAATAGTGTTGTTATTTTACTTAAACATTAAACACAAATTATCAAAAGACTTCATAGTATTAGGAATGTTTAAGGTTAAGTGCACAACAACCGCCCAGACATCTAGCAAGAGGTAGGAGATAATAAAAGCCAATCAGTTTTATCATTCCCATCTGTAAGTATTTACAATCTCAGTTGTAGATAGTTTTTGAAATGAGAACCTATAATATACTTGTTAATGGAAACAAATCGTTTTTAATTAATCAGTTGACGAATAGCAAATGATGGAGATAATCTGTACGAATGTATATGAGGGAGATGGTACGAGATATTTTATATTCTGTACACATAGTTTGGAATTCACTAAGTATGTAGAAGTTTTGTGTGCTTTTTAGGTCTCTGGGTGTACATTTAGTGTACATTATATGATTATAACTTCGTATATATTATGTTTTGTTGTAATTTGCTGCTAGTACACTGTCAGTATACTGTTTATAATTCAAAACAGCTGTCTTAACAAGTTAGATAGAAACGCAAACTATCTAGGTTTTAGAACATGAATACTTCTAGTGTACTGAAAATCAAATACAGCATAGTGCTCCTGAACAAACGAATTTAAATGATTCTTTGTTCAGCTGATGAAGCTGGAGATATTTAACTGCCAAAAAACAATCCGTTTCGAACATATTTTTCAGGGATTTTTTTTCATCCTTAGTAGGTTAAGCTTTAGATAAACAACTCTTGGACAACAAGACAGTGCTAGAACTAAGATTTGAATGCTTTAAGAAAAGAACGGTAGTTTCTACCTTTATCAAACTGCATACTAGTAGGTGATAGACGATTATGTACTAACCAACATAACGTAATATGCGATTATTTTGGGAATTGGCTTTGATAATCATGGAAGTTTATTCCTGATCAACTTCAATAGACATTCGCAAGTTAGACCTGAAGGTAGTTGCTTAGAATTCAAGCAGCGTTTGCGTATCAACCAAAAAAATAACGCGCGATATTCTGTATTTCATGTAGCACTCTCATAGTCCTATTATTGTAATTGAAATAGTGTCATGGGAGATTATAGTCTTTTAGATTTCTGATTAACACGAAGAAGTACGCGTGTTTGGGTAAAAAGAATGATAACTCAAATATCAGTCTATGATGATGTTCAACCCACCTAATCACTAGACACAGCTAACACAAACAAGAAAATAACGAGAGAGACAGAAGAAAATAATCAGGAAATTTTAACTGTTGTTATTTGAATGTGTAAAATGTACTGAAAAATAAACAAACAAAACAATTTACATACCTAAAAGAACAGTAACACATATAGTGTTAACAAAAAGATTACATTATCATTCTGTTTTTTCCCAAGTGCTTCTTCCAAATATAAAATATAGAAAATTTCATCAAACACCGTATTTCTTAACACCATTTTCCAAATTAATCCTTTTAATCCATTCAAATACAACCACCTTCCATTTGAATAAATTTATTCTCCAGCTATATTTCCATAAAATGAATAATGTATTCGGTAATCTTAAAGATGTTATATTCTTTCGCGATGATCTCATTACTCATGGTTCTGATAAGGGGGCTCCTTGTCAGAGATTTATTGTTTGATTGCATCGCCTGATTGGGAAGAATATTCTCTCAAGTCCAAATAAGTTTTCATTACGTGTATCTAATTTTAAATGTCTTGGATATGTAATCAACAATAAAGGTTCTAGACTACATATGAGGCAACCAGTTCCATTTACAAACGCACTATGTCAGAAAAATCTTACAGAACCCATTTAGATAGTTTGACTAGTTTGTATTTTAACTGCTAGCTATCAGGGAGTCTAAAAATGTCTCTCACTAAGTTCTCCAAGACTTAAAAAATTACCAAGAAATGTTTTGTATAACCGAGCACTAAAAAGAAATTTTTCAGAAATATTCCGAAAAATGAAGGATCACGAGTCGTTTTCAATTGAATAATTACATATACTGTTACCACGTTTGGTATGTTTCCAGGAAGCTATTAAAGGCCAAAGCCAATCTCATTGGAGCTGATGGACATGAGTTCTTTCTTGTAAAGCTAGTTTAATCTAATATTCATAAATTCCTTGTCGTTAAACGACTTCGTATTTGGAAAAACTACTACTATTACAGATCATGAAACTCATAAAGTTCATTTATCATCCTGAAAACCTCGTAGAACGTTACTCAGCTTCTGTCATTCAGTGATGAAATGTTGCTCTGAGTGCCTATTATCATACAGAAGTTCCAAATAAATTCAACATGTTAACCACATATCTCAACATTCATCATAAGAAAAAACCTGTTGATAATGCAGATTGTTTATTTGCGCAATATTTACAAGTAAATCGTTTTACGTGGATTTTTATTTTCTGAATTGGATGGTTTGGTCGTGGAGCTTTCATCGTTATTCTGGACGATATTATGAGCACAAACTTCAGGTAAAAGTGAAATGTTTGAATTTCTCCATACGTGGCTCACAGCTTATCCTGTAGACCTTGATCTTGATTGATTACTGTTAACCTTTAGCCTATCATTGTTGAATTCTTTATTTTGATTGCATCTAAAGCTGGTTTGATTCTTGGTCCTGTATTTGTCCATGATTTTTCTGATTGGTTAGTAGATCGGGTCGATTTCAATGTGTTAGTTGGTTGCTGATTGACCTGAGTGCCAAACCTCTGGAAACTTCCTGTTATTTTTAGAATTTTCTCTGTCTAAGATCTCAGTATTTTTTCCAGTCGAATGTATGCTCAGAGTTGTCCATCACCACAGGTAAATCATCCAAAACTCACTAAAGAAACTCATCGACGTTTTGGATGTATACTCAATGCCATACTAAATAGTTGGAAAGCTAATGTGAAACGTAGATATCCTGTTTATTTTGCCAAGGGGAATGAATCATCTACTACTTATCACAGTATTGTATGCTTAAATGATCGCTCTATTATTCCTTCTTTATTACGCAAATCCATTCTTGCAACTTTTATTAAGAACATTTGGGGGGTTTGAAAAAATGAAGTATTAAGCAAGGCTCAAATGTTGGTGGGCGGAGGTAAATGTGGATATATGTTACGTAGAAAAAGAACGAAAAGTGTCATAATTCGAAAAATCATCCTCCTAAGTAGCCAGTATCGATTGAGACCTAGCCGAGAAGTCATGCAGACTATTGTGGTCAATATCTCGGGGAATGTTATGCATTTGTTGTTATTGCTGCTTTTTCTAAGTCTCCTAAAGTATTTTCACAACTTCTCAGGATTACGATCCCACAATTCAAGCGTTGAAAAAAGTATTCAGTCGTTCTTATGGTATTAATGACTAATAATAGTTCTAATTTTGCTCCATATTCAATCATTACTTACTTAACTGGTATGGTTGGCAAGAATTTGAGTGCTCTTCCCAGACACCCCTGTTCTAATGGTCAAAGAGGAAACTTCCTCAAGATGTTGAAAGTCGCTATTGTTTTTATTACAGTCACAACATCCGGTGAACTGGAGAGGGCAATGGACACATTTCTGCCACGGTACATAAGTACCAAACATTCTGTAGAGAATGATACTTGATTAAAATCGTAAAAATGTATTTTCCGTTTGAATACAGAGTGTTTAGAGTTTGCAGAATTTGCATATTATTGTGAGAGTGATCCATGACCGCACACAGGGATTGTGGTGAAGAGTTTTCTCGTTTCATTTCAAAATAACGCTGAAGATCAACTGGCTACATCTTCCAGTCGGATTGTGGAAATAGCCAAAATCTTCAATATCAAGGCATGCTATGTTAAAGAAACGCCTCATTCGGCACAAAATGAAATTACAGATCATTTCATATTTATCACTCTTTCTACTTAACTCGTCAAAGAACCCCATCACGAAATAGCTCTGTTTCTGAATCTCGAGAATTAGATAACTGTGTTGATGTCGGTACTACAACAATCATGATAAATCCCCCAGAAATTGTGCGAAACCTTACCGTTTCCCCGATCTCATATCCCCTACCACAACAAATCTTCCCGGAAACCCGACCGACGACACTCGTTAGCGACAACCGTAGTCAGTGGACATAGCTCACTGTTAAACAACATTGATGCGATGATGATGGTCCAGTATCTGATGGACGCTGGAGCAGAAGGTAGCGTCCTTCTCGTAACTATTGACGTCCTTCTACAAAACATGGTCTTCAGTTCATAGGTGGCAAACGAATACCGCTAACCACTTACAGTATTGTAGCGTGGCGTCGAGTTGAGGTTAACTATGAACACCGCTACCAGGAAACACGTGCCAGATAAATCAGAAGGCGTAAGAAGCTCGTTCCAAATGACTCCATAAAATCCCCGAGAAGCCGAATATCAGAAGACAGTTAATGGACCAAGTCGAGGTTTATTAGCTGGCGATCTCGTGGCATCGAAAGGATACCGAGATCGTGCCAGGATACAATCTTGGTTACAGAAGGTAACCGAATTCGCGCGAAGTTACAATCAAAGTGTAAGCGAAAGAATGGAAGCAGAAAATAGCTGTCATTAGCACAGTCAAACAAAAGCACGTTAAAACAAACACTGGTACAGTTGGTTATAATAATAATTGTTTTTATTAAACCAGTCGTGTTCTCGTGATAAACGTGAGTCACTACAGGAGCCCCCCGCTAGAAAGGGTTTACACTTTCGATAAATAGCGGTTTGAATCGTGGGACTGATCGGCTGATGAGCGATTGTAGGACGGAAGAATTGGCGAACAGGAAAGCGATCGTTGATCGTCGAGTTGCCAACGAAGGTCGTTATCGGAGAACGGTACCAGGAGCGATGTGTTGTATTTATTGCTTGAGTTGGCATGCTACACCAGAGTGGTTTGTATCCAGAATCTGAAGAGGGCGTTCGTAGAGGTGCGCA